GACGGCAGGCGATGTCGCCGGGGAGGGGGACGACGACGAGGCATTGGTGAACAGGCTGCGTCAGCGGAATACACGGGAAGGAATGGAGACTGCGGCGAAGCTGTGGGTGGATGACCTCCGCTCTGGAACGAAAGGGAGGGATTTGCCATCGTGAAGTCGATCGTGGAGGCGCGCGGGTATCTTGTGGCGGTGGCGCGGGGAGAGCAGCCTTCGCCCATTCGTCGCAACATCGTCTTGCCTCACAACAGCATCCCGCAGCAGAAGATCGCGGACGAGTCGGAGTTCAATGCTGCGAAGGAGAGGGCGGTAAAGGTGCAGGGGATCGCTTTGCGGGTGTTACACGGGTGGGTGTTCAAGTCTCAGAACAGGCAACGGGGGTACCACGCGGCGTACCAGTACGCACTGAACCACGAGGCCACCGACGTCGCTCGCGCCATGTGGATGGGGGAGGACTGGTGTTATTGTGTGAGCCCCATGGTCGTCCACCACACGCTCGACATGGATATGAAGCTGCCATTGTGGTTTGTGGGCGCCGACGTCGAGACAAGCACGAGGACGACGGCTTGGCGGCTTATCAGGAGGCGAGCATCCAGCGACTGGTGGGGGTTTTCACGAGCGCCGTGATCATTGCGGAGGCGACCGACGACGGTCGTGTATCGCACGAAAGGTTGAAGACCATGGCCGACGCGATGCGGATGATGCTCGCGGCGACCATGTGGCTCATGCGAATGGCGGGTGACGATCATCGCGTGCATTACGACGCCTGGGTTTTCGTCCAACTCACGGTGAAGCCGACGCTCGTCGCATCCATGCATCGTTGCTTCGACGCGCATCGGCACATCGTGCAAGTTGCGACCGTCATCACCGACAAGTTGGCGAGTCCCCCCATAACTTTGATCGACCCTCCAATGTATGTTCCCGACTGGGCGTCCATCGGTGTCAAGTTCTCACACGATGCCACGCTGTCTTCCCTGATGGAGGCGAAGAAGATGGATTGGATGGGCACAGGCCCCCTGGAAGACGAAGACGACGGGAAAGGCGACGAAGAGGGAAGCGGGGGGGGTCGATGACGCGTTTTTGTCGTTTATGTTGGTCTTCCTCGCGTGCTGCTGCTCTGCTGTCACTTGTTCGAAGGCGGCAGACCCACCATTATCCCCTTCTGTACATACATCATGGGTGGCAGTCCGACTTCGTAGCCGCCGTCGTGCGGTCACAAACAAGTGGGATGGTGGTGGGTGTGGCGTGAAGGGAGGTTCTCGCCGAGGAGTTTTCGGTGGTGAAGATGGGAGAGATGGGAGAGGGGAGGGGGGCGTTTGGCGGTTGTCTGTGGCGGTTATTTTTATTTTTTTTTCGTTTTAAACATGGTCGTGGTAGACGAATGGGGG